GTGAGTGAGCATGGTTTAACACCGCTTTTAGCAATATTCCAGCAATATCACGGCGGGGGACGACGGGTGATAGAGTGAGTGAGTGAGTGAGTATGGTTTAACACCGCTTTTAGCAATATTCAAGCAATATCACGGCGGGGGACGACGGATGATAGAGTGAGAGTGAGTGAGTATGGTTTAACACCGCTTTTAGCAATATTCCAGCAATATCACGGCGGGGGACGACGGATGATGGAGAAACCAGGAGATGAATATTGTAATTGCCCTTTGAGTTTCCCGGATGAGTGGTCTATCCGCACCTGCAGCTGTCTTGCAGCTGTCTTGCAGATGCACATATCAAATACGCTGAAATCGACCAGCACGTGCAAACTGCAAGCATGCAACTTTGGCGAGGAGAGTGCGTCAGATGAGAGTTTTGATGAAAATATTAATGATGAAGACGATTGTCACTTGTTAGGATTAAGTAAGTTGGGTTTAACGCTACGTTAAACAGTATTCCAGTTATGTCACGGCACGACGACTTGTGTTGGGGACCCGTGAAGATTCCGGGGTAGAATAGGTCTTCAGCAACCCATACTTGCCGTAAAAGGTGACTTTGCTTGTCGTAAAAGGCGACTAACGGGATCGGGTGGTCAGGCTCGCTGACTTGGTTGATACATGTCATCGATCCCAATTGCGTGGATCGATGCTCATGATGTCAATCACTGGATTGTCTGGTCCAGACTCGATTATTTTACAGACCGCCGTCATATAGCTGGAATATTGCTGAGTGCGGCGTTAAACAACAAACCAACCAACCAACTTGTGTTGGGGAAATCCCGAAGTGATGCAGGTCGCATGCGTTTACTATTTGGTTAAACAAAAGAGCACGGGTATGGTACTCACAAACCTCGAAACAAAATCGGGGCGAATCGTAGATTCATCCGACTATCGTAGGTTTCAGACTATCGTGAATGACATTGCGAATTGCGGCGCCTTTGAAGACTAGGCCAACAAATTAAAAATGAGTTCAAAATGCGTTATGCCAATTGCACACTTTACCACAGTAACACAGTATTTCGCTTATATAATGACATATCGTGAACTATGCTTTCTATTACTGGAGTGTTGACACAGGTTCACGTCACGCGTTCGAAGGGAACCCTGCGCTCTACGAATAATCTTAGAATAAACGTCAGGTTAATTCGACGCAATGAACCGAACGAAGGGAAATGGGGGTGAGACATATATAGAGTGTTCATGTCATACTATGTTTACGACACGGGTGTCTAAACAGAGAATCTCACCCGAGTGTCTTTTGATATCAAATATATCAACACGAGTCGATAAAAGTGGGAAAACTCCGAGGCTTGCCGAGGATTTTTTCCACTTTTATCAACGAGTGTTGATATATTTGATATCAAAAGACATGAGGGTGAGATTTTATTTATCATCCAACATCATTCTTCCAACTTTTTCAGTTTGTAGACAGTAATTAGCAGTGTCTTAAGTGTAAAAAAGTACTGCTAACAGCTTTAGTAGCAGAGCCATTAGTGATGTCATATGATTGTGACGTCATGGTAACCAATGATGTCACAATGGTCTGCAATGCATTGTGATGCAATTTCATTGCAGAGATATCTACAGTGTAGATATCGCTTGATCTCACCCAAGCGATATCTCCTGTGGGAACCAGTTTTGGATGATAAATTCCGGTATTTCCCGAACGACGGCGAGGGAATTACCGGTATTTAGGCACGAGTGTATTTATTACCGAAAGAAGATGTCCACATACAGAGATGGAATTAGTGTTCACCTACAAGGACAGAAAGTCAAAAGACACTCGGATGAGATTCTCTATTTATCAAATGACGTCAACAATCTTCAGCTATGACGTCGTTTCTAGTGTGACGTCATTCCGACCTCAAGTCACAATAAGATTCGAATGACGTCAACAATGCCGTCCGGACGGAAACAATACACTGTTGTCTCGTGACGTTATATGACCCTAGAGCGCATATGATTTTTATGAACCTCGACACGTTTGCTCTCGTAGGTAATAAGAAACAATATTGGGAAAAAACTTGGTATGCAAAACAACGCCAGCCCAGATAAACGCCGGGTCGGAGCACCTTCCGAAATAAACGACGTATACACCACATTATTTCATGGTAATCTTGGCTATGTTTCTCCTCAACCCATTCTTTTCACCAAATAATTTATTTGGTATGGAAATCAAGTACACATTTCATGCACTAGTTCATTAAAGTTGCCCGGTCTGAGAATATACGGGTGTTGCTTAACTAATTTCCATGTGTATATATTCTGTACCATGTTCATTATTCAGCCTTGCTTGACAACGGTATATGGATCTTTACAGAAACGTCGCGAATTCTGTAAAATAAAGAAGTTGTTATCCATAAATTGCGTGTACTGCGATATGTTTAGTTATACAACATTCCGGGAACGTTAATCACCCACTATTTCCTCAATAGTTACTGAAGCGCACGTACATTTTCTTACAAGCGGTGGCTGCGAAGAAAATGTCTCCCTGGTGTGATTGTGTCAAATATCTTATATATATATATAATGCTGGAATTCAAGCCGTATTTCAAATTATGATTGATATATTTAATAAATAGAATCCATGTATACAACACATTTCGCATTAAACCACAAGGTAAAAATACACTTTGAACAAATTGATAATGCATGTATGTCCTATTCAATTTACCCATAAGTCCCATATTCCAACAATCTCATACAAATCAAATCTTAGATCTCACTATCGCTGAAGCTTTGTTTAGCGATAGCGAGAACTAAGATCTGATTTTAATGAGATTGCATATTCCACAATTACATTGCATTACACTACACTTACAAAATGTGACTGGTACGAGTTTTAAGGTATATCAAACTTTGGGGGGGGGGGGGGGGGGGGGGGTAGTGAGTTGTTCCCGCATGATGTAGCTGGGCAACGCAGATAAAGGCGAAAAAACGGGAAGGATGTGACAATCGGTATTGGGAGAAAAGGTACAAATAATCGACGTGTTGATTGTGAGAATATGCGGGAAATACCCACCTGCGCATGAAATGGACTTGTCCGACATCGGATTCTATTGAGGGAATCATCATTATTAAAATACGGCTACATATTTTTAAAGCTTGTACATTTAATCATCATCCTTTAAGAGGCTATACATAATGTTGATATCTCATTTAGGAAACAAACGACTCATGCTCGTTGTTTATTTCTTAAAAAACCTAGGTAGATTAAACATAAGTAAACCCCTGTACACTGAATGCCATTGAAGTGTAGGTTTCACTTGACAACACAAATGCTCACGTCAGGTTTCTGATCTGAACTGTCAGAGTTCCGTATTTAAGTGGGCCTGTGTAGGACTCGTTCATGTGAATACCGTATTCGACGTAATAAGCGCCCCGCTCTAATAAGCGCCAACGGCGTTATTTGCTAATATATTGGCTAGTGAACAATCCCAATTAGCACCCCTTCCGATTGATCAATGTACACAGGACTTATTTATTCGTGTATAATACGTATAGTATATGCATTCTTAATTATGGGAAATTAAATTCTGGGAAAAAAATATCTGTCGTATATAAACATTTCAGGCTGTCAGCATAAACCACGAAATGTACGATCTTTCAACTCGGTTGTTTTTCACCAAAATAATATTCTAATAAGAACCCCCTATTTCTAACTTTGAGAGCGCCTTGGGCGCTTATTATGTCGATTACGGTAATGAAAACTCATGTTTAAAATGTATCTTGAATATGGTTTTACGCCACTTTTAGCAATATTATAGCTAGGGCTGGGGCGAGTCCACATTTACTACCCGGGTACCCACCCCTCTATTATCCGACCCGACGTGGGTACCCACAGTAGGTCTCAAAAGATTTCTCAAAATTTCCGATTGGGAATTTTTTTTTACCATAGCCCTGGCAAAACGTATTAAGATACATGTTTTTAACAATCTGGTCATGCATACACTGAAGTTGACTTAAGTTATATCTTTATTCAACCATATGAAAAGTCAGAAGGAATGGGTGCAAAGTCAGAAAGAAATGCGAACATAAGTGACTTGTAGTGTAATCATAGAGTTTTAGATAATTTTTGTCATTAAACAATATATCACGTGACTAACCACGGGTCCCACTCAGTACCCACCCCAGTCCTAATTCTAGCAATAGTACGGTGGGGGATACCATAAACTGGCTTCACACATTGTAAGGAATCGAAACCGGGCGTTCGGCGTGACAAGCGAACACTTTATCCACTAGGCCACCCTACCGCCCACATATGATGGAGATCGCCGAGGGTCATGGCCACTGTCCCATGGAAAAACAAAGACACTCAATTTCTGAGCAATATACTCTCTGCGTTTCCATTTCTTTAATTCACTCACTCTTTGTATTTTGTCACAAACAGCAGAGGTGCACAATGACACTTTTTTTTAAAGAAAAGAAAAGAAAAGAATACTATAAGACATTTATTTAACTGGTTATGTTAAAAAGCATTCATCTAGCACCCGTATGGTAACTTACAAACTTCACCCTTCCTTAACCAAACAGCTGTGCCCGGGCTTGACAACAAGGCATTATAGATCTACATGAAACAACATATCCTTTTGAAATCGACCGACGCAAAAAAAAAAAAAAAAAAAAAAAAAAAATCAAATTAAAATCAGTTTATTAAAATCAACAATAAGTATTGTACAGGACATGATAGATATGGGGAAAATTTCCCGTAATGGCAAATTAATATAATGTAGATCTGGGTATAAAAATGTAGAATTTTTGCAGGATTAAACACACACGGGTAATTCCTATTTTACCAAGAAGGATATATTGTGTTCCTCGATGGAGCATATCAATTACATTTGAATAAAATTGCAATTTAGAATTAATTGTCTCATGAAACACATACACATAATATCCCTCTCGCTGTGATCATGAATAGTTTCTGTAACGCCCCCAGCAAGTCTATATTCTTTATTACCCTCGGAGGGAGTATTTCTTGCTGTACGGTGTCCGAATGCGACATATCGCTGGTATACCGCTCTTCGGGCACATCAGCATATTATATGGAACTCAGACGATTTATTTCAAATATCAAAACATAGAAAGAGCTTCCATTGAATTGAAAGCGCTCGTTTCAACGATATTCTATCAGTTAGCACTCGGAACCATAGATCCCTCAATCAGGCAAGTGCACGCGAGACCTTGACCTTTATGAAACACGTCAGAATTTAAACAAATATGGCGGACTCAGGAAATTCGGAAGCGGGAAGCGGATTTTTATCCAAATTTTTGTCTGAATTATTTGGAAGTCCGTTGAATCTGGCTTTAGTAGGCGTTTGTTCATTTCTTGTTTACAAAATTTGGTCAAGCAGAAGGAAGCATGACCCACCGACGCCTCGGGAACCTGAACTTCCACCCCTGAAAAAGCAAGATTTCACACACGAGCAGTTGCGAGAATATGATGGAAAAGCAAAGGATGGACGTATCCTGATCGCTGTTAATTGCAAAGTGTTTGATGTCACTCGAGGAAAACGATTTTATGGCCCAGGTACAGTATAATATTATTGCAAAATATCATTGTTACCCTTCGCCATCTCTTACATTGTTTGTTTGACACTTGTAGATCATTGTGCTATTTATCAGCACGTACAATGATTGAGGCGTAGAAAAAATATTACGCCAGACGGATTATAGTGAGATATATTAATTTACTGATGTTATTCTTGATATCATTGATTTTTCGGAAATATTAATGATCACGGAGATGTTAATAACAGATTCACCTTTCGAAATAATTACATGATGTCCTAAATCATAGTAATCATTCTAACATGGTAATGACAAACATGCTAGTGGATGCAAGAGTCTTTTTTATGGCTCCAATTATGGCTCCACATCTGTAAAACCTTTCAGATGTTGTGATGGGAGTTGCAATGTTCTCAAACTGACTTCTAGCAAGTCATAGCATTTTTTAAATATATTTGTCAGTGACTTGCAACTTAGAGAGGTAAAATGTCTCTCAAAAAGAGCTCCATACACAGCGATAACCATGCCCCCTAATCCGTAGTCTAAGACTAGTACAAATATAGAGAGACATGTTAAAATATAGAGGGACCATTTGTTTCCTCCCAAGTCTATTTATTTTACATCATGTACATGTCTCAATAGTCTGAAATTAGCTGTGGGACTAGTTTGATATGAACAAGGGGTCTACCCATGCATATGCATGTTACATGAAGGTGTCCATGTGCAATGTTCGAAACTATGCATGAAAGTCAATGGGTCATTGCGCCAATGTTAAGTATTAAAAATTTAGGGGGACCCGGAATCCTAATGTTATATGACAAGGTTTCACATTTTCTGGGACACTGACTGATCCATAGGGGCTTGTGATCCACATATTAGCAGCAAGATATATATACGGTCACTAACAGGGTCATAGTGCTATATGCTATGATACTGTTAGTGACCATATATATCTTGCTGCTAATCTTTGTAATTTGGTAATGATATAAAGAGAATGTCCTTTCAAAAATTGATAAAATCCGGAAAACGTCCAGCAAAATCACTGTAGGACCCCAGGATGCCCCTCACACTGATATGTGGGGGAAATCTGTTATCCAAGTTAAATGCTGGTTTCATTCAGCAAACTATGTTGACAAAACTGGTTTTGATTGAAGTGAAACAATATTGTTGAGGCTACCATTTGACCCTCTCGTTAAAAAAACAAAATAGAACCAAGAATGAAATTATGTTGTGAGTGCCGTGCTCAACTGACGGATGATTTGTATTTACACAAGTGCCATAGAAGAGAGATTCACGGGTGTTCAAAATCAAAGGACCCGGAGACGCACAACTCTTCTGCTAAGAAAACTAAGAACACAACCAAGCTGACCGTCCCCTCCCCTGTAACACTGAAGCTACCTCCAGAACCTGCCCTGCCTGCACTATCGGTGGCCTATGACCGTGTCTCAGATAGTTTTCTTACTGACAAAGTTTTTACTCGGCTGGATCAACAGTCCATCCCTAAAGCGGCCGGGTCCATGTCTACCTTGGAACCGCCAGCTACATTGGACGTTCGCATGGTGTTTTCTTCCGTCGAATTGTCCCGGAAGAGCCTCTTCATCCAGCTTTCTACGGTGGCCACAATGGAAGTTTCGCTTACTGTGATCTCATTTTGGCTTCCCTCAATCATCCTACAGCCTACACTTTAGTTGGATTGTCTCCTCCTGTCACATCCAATCCTCACGAGGCTCAAGCTGTCGCCTCTACCATATCCTTGCACAGCAACTGCACCCTCTCCGCCATTATTGAAGGGTGCGGAAGTCAGATACGGTCTTCGCTTTCCACTATCTCTGTGACACCGCTGCTTTTGGCATGTGCTGTCTGGTATTGGTTCGAAGATCCGCTTGTGGATATTGTCCATCGATCCTCTTCTCGTCTTAGCATGCTTCAATCCCTTGGGTGGTTTCATAGCTTTGATGATGCGTCAACAGAGATATCAAGCAGGTGCACCCTATTGTCTGGATCAATTATAAGTCATATAATTGTTCTTCGCAGCTATGCGGTCATTCATGTAATTTAGAAATATATTTATTTCCAACAAGAAGGAATGGTATGGGAATGGGGGTGGAAGTTGGAAGTTGGGGGGGGGGGGGGGGTGTCTGTCAAAGCCTATTTAAACACCTTTTCCTACAAAAGTACAAGGTCATGTAACAATTAATAAGAGCCAAATGTACGTAAGATAATAAATTTAGATAACTGATACTACTGTTTGCAAGTATCACAAATCACAAATATACATGTCATACATTAATAATAAATAAATACACACATACATATACCAACACATAACCAAACCAGTGCATCCATGCACATACACTTATGCCAGGGCTAGAACTAAACTCTAAAACTTTACTAGCCCTGGTAAAGATTAAATGCCCTCAGTGTTAAAACAATGGCAAATTTGAACTAGCCTGAAGGAATTTGTAATCCTGGGCTAGTGTTAAGTTCCAACCCTGTGGACATACTTATAAATATACATACATACACATGCGCATATACATAGTATTACACAATACACATGTCAATATATACAGACAGACAGACACGCTTGTAGACATATACCTCAATGTACCAGATTTTAATGCGTACATAAAAGTATTATTATTGTAAAGTAGACACATATTTAATTTTTGAACAGATTGTACAATAGCAAATTTGATAACAGTATATGCTTTTGCATTTCCATTTTATACTGAATCCAAGTTATATCCTTTTATGTAGTAGTACATATAATTATGAACAGGGTTTGACAAATGTCTTATCTACACACTATCCCACTGGTCCAGTAAGAAATTTAAACTACTGGCCCAGATATTAAGTTACAAGTCTAACAGAAATTCAGCAATTTAAGAGAGCAAACACTTGTCAATATAGTTAAAGTCATTTTATTCATATCAACCATAAAACAAATTTTAACACTTGTCTTCACGTGTTGACATAACTCAGTAAATCTCTGCTCTACAAACTAGAAAGTTAACCAGGTGAACTGTCGCGGGTATTGACAGTAATATAATATAGCTACTTTAATTCAGTTATATACTATTTGAAGGCTTATTTACAAAATTCATTCAGTCACGGACAATAATTAAATAATTTGAAAACAAAGGTGGCGGGGGATATAGAAACAGGCTTCGTCCGTACGTCACGTCCGTCATGAAACTCTGCAGGTCTGTCAAGGATATGCTGAACTGATGCCTTTTGCTATTTAGAAATTTTAGATTTTTTTTTTTTTACGTTTCCATGGCCACAAGATAGACTTAGGTTCTGTGAGGGTAGGGTTCGTTTCCGGAGAATAACTCATAAACTGTTCAATATTTTTTCATCAAACTTTGCAGGTCTGTCAGGTACATGCTTAACTGGTGCCTTTTGCTATTTAGAAATTTAGGAATTTTTATTTTTTACGTTTCCATGACAACAAGATGGACTTAGGTTCTGTGAGGGTTAGGGTTTGTTTAGATTTAATTATGTCATAAATTCTGTAACAGGGGCGAACTTTAGCATGTTTAGTGGCAAACTCTTGTTTTCATTTGCTGCCGTAGTCTTCTCGATCTTTCTGAGCCACAGATCTTATATGATCAAACCAAACAGACTTTTGTCTTTGTCTTCATACACTCGATATGTGCTTGACGGCAAATGTGTCCGATGGTGGTTTCAAAAAATATTTTTTCTATATATTTATCGACTTTTTCAAGTTTTATAAATGAAACATTTCTAGAGATAAATGGACGAAGATCGAAATGGTAACATATTTGACCCATGAACACATCGTTTATTGGGCGTAATTGCGACTTGAAATTGGGGTAATTTGTAAATAATTATATAAGGACTGTGTCGAGTTACTCAAAGTGACTCGCGTGTAACACTTCCAGTTACTCCCTGTTCAAGATGGCCGCCAAACCGTTATCTCATGTATTTCATGAGAAAAGTTGACGTATGGCTTTTGTTGACTGAATAAAAGATTGAGTGAGTTTTAACCTGACTTAAAGCAATTGGTACACCGTATTATTTCAATAGCCAGCTGGTCCAGTATAGATATACAATTACTGGCCCAGATCAAGTTTCACTAGCATTTGTCTAGTTGGCTGGCGTATTTGATGAAGATTGCAATAGTTAGTACATGAAAAGGAGTAAATGTCGGGTCCTCAACATGGTGACCGTCTCTGTGGTCTAGTGGTAGAGCGTCCGCCTGGAGAGTGGAAGGTCAGGGGTTCGATCCCCAGCCGCGTCATATCAAAAGACGTTAAAAGATGGTACCTGTTGTTACCTTGTCTGACGCTCGGCATTAAAGGGCTAAACCAAGGACTGGTCGTCTGGGAGTCGGTATACTGTGTCCGAGTGAAGTATTCATGTCAAACTGCGGCATGGTATCTCAGTTGGCTAGCACTATAAGTTGGCATCAGTCCGGACTAGTACAAGCATCCACACACACACTATAAATTGGCATCAGTCCGGACTAGTACAAGCATCCACACACACATTATAAAATCGGCATCAGTCCGGACTAGTACAAGCAGACACACACATATGTATGCACGTCGCTATATAAGTGCAATAATCTTGGACGGGACGTTAAACCTCATTTCAGTTTTCACCTCACCTCCTCAAAATGGTATCCACAACAGCATGTAGGAGACTGAGGGATATGTCTTTGATATATGTGTGTATTTAAATGACTGCATCCAAACCTGAGGCGCAAGTGGCTAATTTGCACAGAAAAGTGTACCGTAGTCCAATGTTCTAAGATGTTCAGGTGTGATACTTTCAGTGAAATCGTATACAGTATTTATTTTACTGAATCTTAATCATTCCACATTTGCACTGTATCAGGTAAAAATGATTTATAGTAGTTAACTGTGAGGAACAAGATTACATAGATATTTAGGGGCCAACTTGTTTACCATTTTGTAAAATTTTAATTGTTTGGATTGCCGTCTTTTGGATTGTAAACTTTGATTCAGAGTATAGAGACTTGTGATTGGTACCACGAACAGCTCTGCATATTGTTCTCAAAGTAACAATATCATACATGAAAACATGTTACGCATGTTATGCCCGATTTCATGCTGTTATTTCCAACTAACGTATTGGGATCATGTCACCTGTCATGGTCTATATTCCCACTTACGAGTTATTGTCTTTACGACACTAGGCAGTGTTATAGATTATTTTATTTATCTCACTGTTAAGCACCAGCTTCTTTGTGTATGTCTATGGTTGTAGCCTGTTACAGACAAAGGTATCTGCATCCAACGGTGGGATAAATGCATAGTGTGAGATAAGTTTAAGAATTGGAAATTTTACAATACCGTATTCGACGTAATAAGCGCCCCACTCTAATAAGCGCCTGCGGCGGTATTTGCTAATTATATTGGGTAGTGAACAATTTCAATTAGCACCCCTTCTGATTGATCAATGTAAGACTTATTTATTCGTGTATAATACGCATTCGTGTGTTATATGCATCCTTAATTATGGGCAATTAAATCCTGGAAAAATATATCTGTCGTATATAAACATTTCAGGCTGTCAGCATAAACAACGAAATTTACGATCTTTCAACTCTGTTTTTTTTTCACCAAAATATTATTTTAATAAGAGCCCCCTATTTCTAATTTTGAGAGCTCCCTGGGCGTTTATTACGTTGAATACGGTAAGTTTATTTATATATATTTATCCCCTCCCACACGCTATATCCCCCCCGGACCATCTCGCATCACTGCTCCTCTAGCAGCCTGTTAGCTCTAAGAAAGAGAATGATGTGGCAGGGGTAATCACGTGATCAGGTCGTGTAGGTGCCTATGCACTGGAATTTACCGGTAGTGTGTGACCTATTTTGGTGGTGACCTTGGTGATGCTCGGATGTGTTTAGGTGATTAGTTTTTTTAGAAGCTGGAACTTTTTTCAAGCATGTTTCCTCATTGGATCGAAAGAAGAAGGAAGAAATGCGTAGTGTGAGATAGTATCAGTATATATGTAATAATTAAATAAACACTTTATTGTAAAATTTCCAAGTTCTTTTTGATGCGGTTATTTCATTGCACACCTGCACTTTGCCATCCTTATCTTTAACTCAAAACGTTCTCTCTTGTGACTATGATATTATCAGCATTAAACATAGAAACGTCCTGTGATGATAGCATATGAGGGAAGCATGCAATGAACTGATAATCATCATGATCATCCGTACGGTCTCCGTATTATTATACTTATTAAACTTCATCTAAATAATAGCGATTTTGATAAATTTAATGCACAAAAACATGTTTGGAAGTGACAAGGGAAGGCACTCCTCTCACAATTTGTCATGACTCGTGAGCTTTGTTCCTTTTGTTCCAGGTTGGGTATAGATACACATGGTGAATGATTTATCCACATCAGTATCCATGCAAGTTTCACTGTCCCTTTCCTTAACATTCCTAATGATGTCACTATATTTGATCACAATATTCAGTTTGTCGTGCCCTGAGCATGCTGGGAATGTTAAATGTTCATGTTAGTCATCAGTGTGTCCATTGGTAGCTGTATCTTCACTCTCTTTACCAAAGCTTTCTAATTCAGTCAGGCAATTCATAATCATGATGACAAATTACATCTCCAACAAAAAAGCCTAAACTATAAATTGTCTTGAGGTCTGCCACATCATGTACAGAGACATGGCAACAGGCCCTTGTTGTTTCACAAAGCAACCGTTCTCTCTAGCAATACCTCTGATGATAAAGGGGTATGTACGTGATATAGTGCCATAGGTACATGGTCAGAACATCTTCATTGAAAATAAACAGTCAAGTCTCGTTAATCCGACAATGGGCTTTATCCGACACAAATGATGGGAACCGATTAAATCAGTGCTATTTAGACCTGTTTATCCGACAGTCTCATGCTCCAACTCCGACACACCTAATTTCCAACAATTTGCTGAAATCACTCATTAATCAGACTTGTTAATCCGACACAGTGATCAGCGTACTACATGGTCATCTGCCCGCGAGTACACAGCCCCGAGTTTTGATGCGAGATGTGTTGGCGAGTAGCTGCATATTTCAACTGCTGCAGCGATAAACTTGCTTAACAATAAACAATTACTGCTTTAGATAAACAAAACAGAATTCATCACATGCCTAGATTACCTCAATCTCATTAAAATGGGATACAAGTTCTCACTTCCGCTGAGGACATCCCATTACAGGTCATGTCAGAACGACCTTTCGCAAACTTTGACCAACCAATGAAATTACTAACAGGAAGTCGACATTAGCCACTAAGAAAGCAGCTTTCTTAAGCATTGCAGCACTAGTTTCAAATTGGCGACTTCCATTCCAGACTATTCTTTAAAAAGTATTTTGAATCAGTCCTACAGTTCGTAACAGTAGTTTTGTGTTAAACTTTAGAGGTTGCATGATTAGAAAACATATTCCACTAACAATGTAACTCAACAAAATGAATATTTCCTTTTTCCCTTTTTTATTACAACATGTTTGAATCATTATCTATCGTGTAGTTGTCCAATTTTCGATCACGAACGTTGATAATACCTAATTTCATTTATCCGACATACTTGTTAATCCGACATAATCATATGCAACCAACAATGTCAGACTAACGGGACTTGTATAAACCTCGATTCAAGTCCTATCTATCCTCAAGGACCCAAGGATCATGTAACAGTAACTATCATTATCATGAAGTCATGGGGCAGGTCAGGTAGCCTTGTGGTTAAAGCGTTCGATCGTCACGCCGAAGACCTGGGTTTGATTCCTGACATGGGTACAATGTGTGAAGCCCATTTCTGGTGTCCCCCAGCGTGATATTGCTGGAATATTGTTAAAAGCGGCGTAAAATCATACTCACTCACTCGTCATGAAGTCATGACTGTTTCATTGAAATAATGCTTATGTAGCAACTTTTGATGGATGAGTTAACTGCAACTGTAGGCATATTTATCATCAACTTATCAAAACTGATGCATATGTTAATAAGATCACTGGTTTAATTAACCAAGCTCGAATTGTGACAGGTTTCACGGTTGCAGCAATTATGCATACCACCTTGGCTGTGTCATCAGAGTCTTGCTTGCTTCATTTTAAAATTGTCGCAGAGCTCTAGATAAGCTTTTGGTTATTTGGGTATTTTACCCAAGGATTTGATTTTGATTGGCCACCACAATTTTTAGAGGGTATTCAAATTTTTTTTACCCACTTGTTTCTTGGCTTTTGGGTATTTGAACTTTAATCCTGTTTCATAATAATCCCTGAAAATCATTTAAAACTATGTGAATCGTAGTATCCCGCCTGCGTCTGTGTGCAATTCCCTCTTTGGGAAGCCATTTTTGTTTGCAAAACCTAGCATTGGAAGAAAGGAGGTTTTTTTCAATCACCAAGCAGCAACTGTTAAGATACAACATGTACATAAACTTTTCAATTGGTATCTGCCAGTATGTTTGTCGCAGAATCTTTTCCAAATGTAACTGTCGGTAAGTGAATTTTGCAATTGGCTGATACTCAATCCTTTTATCAAACAGTAGTAATATATGCAATCGTTTTATCTACTAGTTATAATATGCGCTTTAATTATATTTCAATAGGGTATTTATAGTTTTTGTTGCGTATTCAATGCGCTAGGATTTGATTTGTCTGCATATTTCAAGTTTATTTAATGCATATTTTACGCAAATATGCAGCTTATATCGAGCTCTGATTGTGCAATCTGTGAAGTAGTGCAAAGTTCAGTTTGACTGTTAATGGCAGTATAGCATGTTATTATCATGTTCTGAAAGGAGTTGTGTTGTTTTCAGGAGGTCCCTATGGAATCTTTGCGGGCCGTGATGCATCTCGGGCCCTAGCAACATTTTCCCTAGGAGAGGAGGCACTTAGGGACGACTACGATGATCTCAGCGATCTCAACAGCATGCAGATGGACTCAGTCCGTGAATGGGAGATGCAGTTTACAGGTACAGCATCACATTGTCATGGCAATTATTATTCAGCAATTTAAAAAAAATCGTTGTGACCCTTATGCTTATTTGTTATTGTGTCTTGTCACCATGATTATGATGAAGAAAGATGATGTGATCAAGGTTGAATTTTTTTTTTTTTCAATATTATTGAAATAGTTTATCAACAATGATCAATTCAATTCTTCCATTCTCAGAAACTAATCATCTTCAAGCTGGTAGGAATTTAATTACAATTTCTGTTTTTGTTATCATGGAAATGTGATATGACGATGCATTGATGTCATTGTGAATTGCAATAAATATGATCCTGGATGTTTCTAGACCTGCTCAGAGGCCGATATTCAAATCTGCAGCACTTGTTTGTGTCACTATATAGCTGAAATAATGCTGATGCAACGTTAAATTTTGACTCACTCACTCATACACTCATATCTGCAGCAAATCAGTAAATATTCTCCAAATTCAAATTGAAAATTTCCCAATTCATATAATATGGTTATAATGTGCTATGGTGTGATGGCTTGATTCAGATGGCTTGATTCAGTGACTTGTGCCGGGTTCGATTCCCGACATGGGTACAATGTTTGAGGCCCTTTTCTAGTGTCCCCTGCTGCGATATTGCTGGAATATTGCTAAAAGCGACGTAATACCAAACTCACTCACTCACTCATGACTTGTATTTCACTGATAATAGGATAAAAAAGAGAAAGGGATTTTCAGTTTAATTGACATTATTGCACCAAATGCAAAGATAATATTAAAAGTTAAAATATCTCTGAAATGAAGAAAAAAAAACATTAATGAAGTACCAATTTTGAACAAAATAATATTTTTTTCTGATATGGTAAAAATATAAGTGAGAGCTGTAAGAATATAGAATACTAAAATGTTCAGCATCATTTTGAATTGAGATTTGCTCTTAGCAATAAAATTACTAATTCTAATGTTTTACATGTTTAAGATTGTTACTTTTCTATTTTCTGAGAAAACACAAAGTCAAGGAATGTGAAACATTGTCATGATGTGTTACAACACAATGGGATTGAGATTTGTTCAAAACATAACAAATTATTGCTTTTACATGTTCAAGCAAACTGAAATAAGATAACATAACAAGATAAAAAGAAACACAAACCTTTTGTTTGTCATATTAAATTAACAATGATTTATTTCCCTAAAATTCAAAATTGTTTATCAAAAAAGCATATTTAAAACAATATAAACATTATTGGTTCAATTCATTCCCTGTTTCACATCTTACACCACGGGGTTGTCTAGTGGTTAAAGTGTTTGCTTGTCACGCAAATGACTCGGGTTCGATTCCCCACATAGGTACAATGTGTGAAGCCCATTTCTTTTGTCCCCTGCCGTGATGTTGCTGGAATATTGCTTAACGCACATACAACCATACTCACTCACTCACTTTAACAATTATGTTATTACCTCCCTGACATATTGGATTGATAAGCATGGTAGCACAGTAGCCTACTCAGGACGGAGCTAGGTCATGCTGCTTTCTGCTTGTGATGAACCAACACGTAGGCACGGTCTTCTTCTAACAAATGACTGCCTCCGTGGTCTAGAGGTAGAGCGTTTGCCCCGAGAGCGGAAGGTCCAGGGTTCGACCCCTGGCCGCATCATACCAAAAGACATTAAAAGATGGTACCTGTTGTTTCCCTGTCTGGCGCTAGGCATTAAGGGGCTAAAACAAGGACTGGTCGGCTCAGAGTCAGTATACTGTATCTGAGTGGGGTATTCATTTAAACTGCATCATGGTATCTCAGTGGGCTAGCACTATAAATTGGCATCAGTCCGGACTCGTACAAGCAGACACACACGCACGTGCATGCACGTCGCTCTATAAGTGTAATAATCTTGAACGTGACGTTAAACCCAATTTCACCTCACCTCACCTTCTAACAAATGTCACCCAGTTCAGTGTTTAAATAGAACTAAGTCTGAGCAACTAACAACCTCTCAGGAATTTTAAGAACCAGTAAACCAAGTATAACATGTTTATCAGTTGTTTTAAAAAAATAGAAATTCATGTACTTTTTATTCAATTACCCATATACCATTACTCATAAATTCCATAAGCTTGTTTCAGAAAACTATCACAAACAGACCACGGCAGCCAATGTGGAATAAAAATGTGCAGAAAGGATAACATGGCTGGATTGTTCTTGACAGAAATGAAAACTATTTATGCAGAGAATTAATATATTGGTCAGATATAAATCATAACACACCAGTTATGACAATGGGGTTAAGTTGTTTTTGCATGAGAAAGAAAATCAAATTATTCAGAATATCTCAATTTCAAATTTGTCAAGTTCAAAGTTTGTGAAGAATGTACAGAATATGGTTGACAAGCATATATACAGGTATGAGACAGTGTAGATTGGGATGTAGCAAATGTTATTTTGGGGATTTCACTTACTTAGTACCGTACAGATTTTAATACTTATTTAGGTATGTAATCTAGGGCTGCAACGAATATATACCATGAGGCGAATACGATTCGTATCATGAATATAGGGTAACAAATAAGAATATTAATTCTCGAATACAATAACAAGTCAGCAGTTGATGTATTACTTGTTATATTCAGCGAAACAATAACAACATAAATTATTTAACATGGTTTGTTAATTATTGATATATTCAATATTTATATACTTCACTTTATATGCAGGTACTAGTATCTGCTCAAATGGGACAATGACCAGGGACCACAATTCTGTCAAAGTAAATATTTTAAGAGCATTGTCTTTGAAGAAATCTATGCATATATGTTCTCATTGATCTTTTTAGGTACAGAGTATGTAAATGCACATGATTGCATATTCATAAATATTCGATTCTAGTGGCCATGAATAACAAATTCAATACATAAATGGATACGGTTCGATTCACCGAATAGGCGAGTGAATTGTAACAGCCCTAATGTAATCTAAACTACCAGTTGTTGAATTTTCATTTCGTGGAAGCCTCGGTGGCTTAGTGGGTCAGATCACTGACTTCGTGTGCTGGCGATGAGGTGCCTCACTCTGGCAGTGTGTGTTCGAATCCTGGACGGGACTCAACTACAAAATGTATTAGAATCTGTACTTTACTAAGAAAGTGTTATCCCAAATATAACATTTATTACATGTGACCACTTTGTAAATAGCACTTTGGCTTCCTGATTGTGATGTAGTTACACTGGAGTGGTGAAGCCTGTGTACACATAAGGGGTGATATAAGGGAAACATCTTAACAGGTGAAGCCAGTGGTAGAAACAAAAGGATTATGAATCTATGATAGATTGGGGTCTTTGATGAATTGATGGTACACAGGTAGTCTGTAATAGCCTTGATCAAGGTTGATTGATGGTTAGAGCCTTTTGATGTTGGAGTTTTCTGAGGTAAAAGTCTTTGAGGCTGGTTGTAGGGGCCTTGATTTCGTCCCACTGGATGCTGTGGCTGGGGTATCATGGGTATGGTCTGATAGAGCTGACTTTCTGTCAACTTTGGAGACTGAGCTTTGATGTTCTTTGATTTGGGTTTCGAGGGGCCACAATTACACGGAATGTGGTACACTGCTCCTGATGGTTCTTGCTGTTGGCTGGATGGTGGTTTTCCTGTGGTATTATTGGTGTTCTGAATGCTGTTACTTCTCTTGAAGATGACATCAATGTTGGGCCTGTTTCTTTAGAGTCTCTGGATTTTGTGGCTTACACTTCCAACTTAGGGAGGCTGATCACAAAGGGTACAGATCCTTGACGGAGATTTCTAGGTTTTCCTGGTTATGCTCTGTATTGTCTTATATATCAGGGACCTGTTGTCTTTCATGCTTAATTTGAAAGATGGCAAAACCTTTTATATGACTGCATAGTCAAAGCAAATGTGCCTCTCTCTATTCACCTGCCCTGATTGTGCTATTGTTGAATAGTATTGAAAAGTTTTATTGCAAAATATCTATCCTACCATCGAGCATGAACAGAATGATGTTAGTGGTTTCATCAATGTTAATTGTAATGTGATCAGTCACATCTACACTGTTCATGTTAACCGGTAATTACCAGTTTTTTACCAGTAAAATTAGGCTTGGACCGGTATTTCATGTGACTGCCAGTCCCTGTGGACAGGCAAATAACGTACCTTATAAATCTTTGTTGTTGAACAAAACATCGGTGATATTCATATAAGTACTTTTTTCGAACAAAGTCAACTTGTCTGTTACCATCAGGGTTTCCCCTTGTCTATTTCTAGGTTAAATATCCATTTGTAGTGACATCTGTCTCGAAATATTAAAAAACAAAGAGAAAATTGTGACTGAAGTTTTTGTGATTGCCGTATAGATCTAACTAAGTTATTTCAGAGATGACATCTTTGCACTGAACGTGAAGTTGAAGGAATTAAAACCAAATAATTTGCATATGTTTCTTTATTTGTTGAAAGTTGAGACTGGCCAAAATTAGGGGTGACTTGTAATTTTTAGAGTTGCCAGTCCACAAGGACTGGCAGTTTCAAAAGCCAGTGGGAACATTGATCTAGTATCAGGCTGGCTTGATCAAAGGAATCTGATTGCACCAGGTACATGTTGAGACATGAAGAGTTATTTCACCAGACAAAACCAAGTTGCTCCCTGGTCCCATTACTGTATCAAAGTTGAAACATACATGCATAAGGTAGTCTGAACAAGTAAAATCGCCAATCGTTGATGAATGAATTACAAGTAACCCAGAGATTAGTGATGTTGTATGGTAAATAAAGCTTACCGCTATTGAGTGTGTTCAAGATCAATGTTACGTGGACAAGTAAGGGTTAGTCAGACACAGTATAGAAGTTTTGTACATGCACAGGTGCATGTAGACGTTAATATTAGGTTGCATTTTTCAATAATACAGTAAACTATGTTTATAATGAACACGCTTATAACGAACTGACGGATATAACAAACTTATTTTTTAGTCCCGGCCATTTGATGTATATATGCTGAATATATGCTTATAACGAACTACGGTTATAACGAACTAAAATTAGTGGTCCCTTTGAGTTCGTTATAACCGTAGTTTACTGTAGGTTGTCCTGGTGTATTTTTTGTATATCTAAATCCCACTCTGAATATGCTAACAGATGATACATTTCAATCAATCGAGAATCACATGATACTGTCATAGTTAATTGTAGCACTGTCAAAGAAATTGTTTTCCCCATAAAGCTATGAAATGAAGGTGCAAATAATTTGGAATAATGTGGCTATTTTCAATAAAGAACAATTACAGTTCAGCATGGCTGGGTAACTGATGTATTGTAATATATTGCCTTTTGACATGTTCGACAAGCTGTTGCTTCATCAGAATCACCTCCATGCTCTCCGGGACATGACTGTTAATAATAAAGTGGGGCGTCAGGTGTCCTGATGTGTTATATTTATCAAGTCACGGGCCTGTTCATTAATTTGATGTCCCATTGCGCAGTCTGCGACTTTAGCCACTCGTCTGAAGCCCAAGACTAGTAAAATTCTGTTCGGTCTAGTAAGCGTTGCTTGTAATATCCATATGACACTAAACTCTACAGGAAATGATTTCTAGTTCAAATGCTAGTTCTAATGTACATCTCTTAATGTGCTGCTCATGACATCGATACAAAAGCAGGGTTTATCTAGACCTACTCCGAGGCCGATATTTGGGCTAAGTCTTCAGCAATTGGCAGTAAAAATTCCCAAATGTGAAGTTCCTATTTCATGTAAATATTGTTATAACTGATGCTTGTATTCCACTGATTGATAACAGAATTAAAAAGGAAGAAACATAATGCTACAATACAATGTTAAAATACCTCTAAAAATACAGAAATATGAACTTTAAAAAAATCCCAATTTTGAACAAAATATATATTTTTTCCCAAGTTGCCTACCAAGGGCACATCTTAGATTAATCCCTGACATGTCTATGTAAGCAAGACACAGAGGTTGCGCATTATTCACAGCAGTATTTAAGTATACATCTGTAAACTAATATGGTTACAGTCTACATGGGGTTAGTATGCAGTGTTGCTATGCTGCTGTGTTTTTTAATGTCTCGTGATATTTATATATCGTTTGATAAAAGGGTGATATATTTAGCATATTTTATGCAAATATGCAACTTATTAGAGCTATGACTTATGGCATATTTCTTACCAAATGCAGATGTCAAAATATGTTTAAATGCCACTAGTCTAGATTTCAGGATTCTATGAAGTATTCCCCCTTTAGTATATATCCAGCTTTCCTTAAACTCGAAAACTGACAACACAGCCTAAGTTGATGTAATAGGGTTCTGTGTGTTGTCCCTTTGTTATGCTGTGAGTGTGTATGCATATGTTGTGCAAATGACTGCACACTGCAACTGGTACACTTATTTCACTCAATGGTGTTCAGTGTGTATATGGTGTAGGAAAATGGAGTTATTTGGTATTCTAATTCCTGTCCTAGTTCACTGACTGAACATGCTGAATGTCAGGCAGTCATGCTGTGTTGCAACAAGGCCTTTTTGGTTTTCAATGGTTTGTGGATTTTTCTCTCGAGCAAAATGAAAATAAAATTAGACCCTTCTTTTTTTCGTTTGTTCATTTTTGTTAAAAAATAGGGTTGGCACATTTTATAGTGTACACATTGCTTAGCATACTGATGCGTCCCTCTAAGTTCGTTTTTTTTACCTGGGAGCCAAGTATTGGAAACATGACAACAGGTCCGTGAAACGGACATTACTATTTCTGCATATTGCACACTAGTTATGTTTCATCTAGTTACCGGTAGTTAGATAATGTTATTTTAGAACCAAAGTCATTTCCACAATTTCTAGATGTTCCACTTGGCCAAGGTACCACTCTTTGCTGTACAGCGTTGAGCCTTAGGAGTGCCAGAAAGATATGATTGTGTCTTTAAATCAAATATCTGCCATGATTATGTTACTAAGTTGGTCAGCAGCACCAAACCCATGTTTATGTGGTTAAGTGGTAAAAATCTAAGACCTGTTTAACCATGATTACTTCAGGCTTGCTCGCACCCACGCACGCACGAAAGAACGAATGAACTTACAAACCTTAGGATGAATGGCATGTATTTAACATAAAAATAAAAGACTTACCGTATTTGACGTAATAAGCGCCCCGCTCTAATAAGCGCCCACGGCGATATTTTGCAATATATTGGCTAGTGAACAATCCCAATTAGCACCCTTCCAACTGATCAATGTACACAATTCGTGTACATTTATTCGTGTATAATACGCACTCATGTGTTATATGCACCCTTAATTACGGGCAATTAAATTCTGGAAAAATATATCTGTCGTGTATAATACGCACAAACTTTTCTTTTGTATCATTTCAGGCTGTCAGCAGAAACCATAAAATTTAAGATCTTTCGACTCTTTCACCAAAATTATATTCTAATAAGAGCCCCCTATTTCTTATTTTTAGAGTGCCCTGGGCGCTTATTACGTCGAATATGGTATTAAGACTTGACTTTAAAACGCTATAGCAGAAGATCTCAAGGATCCAAGACACCTTAACTTTGAAATTTTCACATTGAACAAATATCTCTTTGACGTATCAAACATTCGTCTGTTTCAGAAAAGTATGTGTATATTGGTAAGCTCTTGAAGCCTGGGGAACTGCCCACCGAGTACACAGACACGGAGGACGAGGTCAACGAGGACAGTAAAGACAAGAAGGAGAAGAAGACGGACTGATTGTGTGTGTTCCTGACAAGTTGGATGCTGCCATCAAAATATAGGGTCTCTGCCTGTCATGGCGGCAGCAGCATCAACTGACTGAATGAATGACTGACCAACCCGGCCTCTGCCTACACCGGACTCTCCATCCCGGCACTCACGGAAGGATCTACTTGTTAGGGTTGGAACGATTCGTGAAGGTGCATTGCGATATTTAGTGCCACGATAAGGTTGTGTATATCTGTACAAAGTACAACATACAAGTATTATGCTTATAGAGTCAGGTGAACTGGTATGCAATAATGAAAATGAATAAATATATTGTTTTTCAGAGTATTGAACCTGTTATCTCAATGGGGGCTGAGGGGCAGTGGGTAGTCTTGTGGTTAAAGTGTGTTTTGGTCTCGCTGTAGCTCAGGGTTTGATTCCCCACATTGGTACAACGTGTCTAGCCTAATTCTGGTGTCCCCCGCCATGTTGGTGCTGGAATATTGCTAAAAGAAGAGCTTAACCATAAACACTTACTCGGGATGAGGCTCTTGTCAATCAGAGTCTTGGCAAGTTTTGTCCAGTGATTCAAAACCCACCTTGTGTGTAGAACCAAATTGAGTTGAGTTCTGTTTGTATCGTAGCATGGATCGTATCATGACCTTTTACTTTTTGTATCGTGACCTTATCAAGTATTGTATCGCCACTAAGTTGGTTTCATTGCAATCTTGTTAAAATCAGATCTTTTAGTCTTCAATAACTCTCTCAATAACGATTTGACTAACCCTCCATAAGTGCAAAGAGGTCATGCTAGGTGGATTTAATCAGCTAATCAGAATAGAGGCTTCTGAATTCTCGGAATGAGTGAGAGAGCATTCAGAATGACTAATGTTAATTTTGTATCTCCAGAAAGAATGCTGAAGATATTTCAATATTTCTCCCTGCTCAGAGAGGTATTGAATCGTGTATAAGATCTGATTTTAATGAGGTTGTGAATCGTTCCAGCCCACGTTCAAGTTGGTGTTGATTTTGTCTAGAAGTGTTAGTTTGTGTAATAGCAAGAGTTTTTGCAAACATGATGCATACAATGTCAGTTGGAACCTCTCTGTGTGTTTGTCTTTGCTAGTACAGACAGGAGACAGTCCTGCCGAGCCGTTTGTTGTGTGGGCTGCCTTATCAAATAAGGTGCCCAGCAACTGGAGTATGTTCATATTTTGGCAGTTCAGTTTCCCTGTAAGTATATTTTTAATATTTAAGAAGGTAGGATGATTGGTCATTTTAAATGGATCTGTTTTGTAGGATATCATGATCATAATTTGGACTTCACATTATGACACAGTAATAATATATCAGTCTGACGCAAGATAATATTTTTGATCTTACATGTTACTGTGGCTCAGGTTTCCCTTTGTGCTAAAAACACCTGCAAGAACTCTTTCTTCCTTTAGTCAACTCGTGAAAACTCTGCAGGTCTCAACCAATTTCAGTTTGTTGACTGAATCATTTGTTTTTGGCCTTACCTGCTTAACATTAAACCTTAAGAATTGCTGTGATCACAGCAATTGGGGACAGAAAACGGTTCACATGTGATGGATGAATCCATTGCCATTGAACAAGGGACAGAGGTGGATGTGATGTGGTGTTCATGTAGAAGTATTTGTAAATGCAAACTGATATATGGATACCTGTCACCCCTTCTGCTGTTTTCAATAATCGCAGGTTTGTAATAAGTTTTTCAATTGACTAAAACAAGTCTAAGCATCTTTTTTGTCATTACTACTTTTTGTAACCTTTCACCTTTCAAGAATTTGGACGAAAGGATGGTTATCCTTTTTGTGTGTACCTAGCAGTGTTTGAAATTAAGAATGAAAGGAAAGGTTCTTGTCATTACCCTGATGTTACAAATCAAACTGTTAGAGGGTTCCCAGATTAGAGTGTAGTAGCAGTGAACTGTACGGAGCCCCTTCTATTTCTAACGGTCTTGTGAAAACGACATTCATTGTGTTTAAAGGGGTGACAGACAAGGGCATCATTCCCAATAATGATCTGGAGCTAAGACTTTTGTAAGTCAAAACTGAGCCCACAATAAATTTAGATTTTCATCTTCATTTCTCATATGTGAGACAGGAGGCTTTTTGTTTTACATTATTCATTTTTAATCAAATTATTCAAGCTATCTCTATTAACTGTCGGGATGTGATTCACATCTCATTAATGTTTGATAGGACTATGTATATGGTGTATTTCATCAAGTAACGTAGGAAAGTAACATTGCGATTTTCTTTACTTGTACTTAGGACATTTTCATGAGAAGATGAAGGCTGTGTCTCGCAAGTGACTCATGTTACTAAACCCAGGTTAGAAACTAGCACTGGTCCTGTAGTCCTTGCCAAATTTCCCAATAGTTAAGGTATCATAAGGACTAGTAGAAATGTTCAATTTTTAAGGGTTTTGCTATACGTTCTCATTATAAGGTTTAGCGCGCTAAAAATGTTAGTTTCTAACACTGCTTACCTGTCTTAAAGGTTGCAGACAAATGTTTATATGTACATGCTGGAGAAGATAAAATATTGTTTTTCTTAGATTTACTGGGACCAAAACTTCTTCCCTTGCCTATGTTTGTCACATTCATTTTCTCTCTTTTTCTTCTTGTCTTTACTTAGAAGTTTGAAGCAATTGTAAAAAAACTAATATCACCCTTTTGGTAGAGGGAATTCAACAAATAGAACCTCTACTATGATTGGTTTGTTCTCTGAGATGAACCAATCAAATATTTGCTTATGTTAACACGACACGGAATGAAATCAGTTAAGATTTAAAAAGCTAAAAAAACCTTTTTAATACAGTAAATCTATACTGACATTACATAAATGCAGTACCAGCCACACTATGTCAGACCCTGGATGCTGGGTGTTCAGTAGAGAGGTGGGATGAAAATCTAATTATTTATTATGGCTTAAAGTATACAAGTTACAATCCTCTTAACGTTAAGATGTGTGGAACGGGGCCCAATTCTGTTTTTCTTTTCCATTCCTTTTCTGTTTATTATTTATAAGGTGCTTTTTGCAATTAGGACTGTAAACAATATTCTGACGCAAACAATATTTTTGTCATGGAGTGATTGTTGTATATATAGACATGTCCACATTATTGTACATTGTACAGCATAGTACAATAACGGTTAATTGTTGGTGAATCGCCTGTTATATTGACATAATGCACTTGCCGTTTGACAGAGTCAAGAAGTGTAATCAGCTTGCTATACAGGACGTGTTTTGTGTTGATGCTATCGTTCGACTCAATACATGATGGCTGACAATTAGTTGTGTGTCAGTATTGTTGATATATTAAATATTGATTGGCACATATGTCATTTAATATGTCATTTACATGTAGATTTAGTCCATGAATAATTGAATAAGAGTTTGAATCAATGCCTTGCAAAAGATCGTGTTCCCATGGAAACAGCAACCTGGTTTTATGTAAACTATATAGTGGTTGTGAAAAGACACACAGTCATGGATTTACATGAACAAATGGATCATTGTTTAACTATCTTAGGCCACTTTTGGAATAATAAGTTACGATAATGTTAGTTTTCCTCAAAAAGTAGTTCTGGTGGATACACTGCTTGAGCTGTGGGTTATTGTCAAACTCTTGGTGTCTGCTCTTGATGCAGCTTGAAGTAGGGAGGAGAATCTAAGACCAATTGTTGTATTATACAGGGTATATCATGATAATATTCCTGATAAAGTTTGGTGATGATGCTAAAAGGTCCAAAGACAAACAATTGTTGATGTCTTTGGTTACTTTATTTACCCAAGGTTCTATACCACTGCTAAGGATGTTATTACAAGGATCGGGTTAGCTCCGTTTTCAGGTTTGAGTCTCTCTATTGAGTGGAGGTGGGTTTTGGTGTAGCATCCAAACATTTAAAAAGTGAAACTCTGTTTATCCAGATACTTTTAATGGTATCTGAATCTTGAAACCAAATCTCTGGATTAACAAGCCAATTTGTGATAAAATATTCACCTGCCAATGATTGACCTTATAGGGAGGATTCTGGATTCTGAATGGGTCATACTGCAATTATTAATTTATGTGCTTAAAATTATATGAAGGATAACCAGGGCTCCTTTCCACAAGACGATCATAGTGCTAGGACTGTTGTTAAGTCTATGTTAAAGTATAGGAGTTATGATCATCTTAGTGCTGCGATGACCTTAAGCCTATATTAAGGTATTGGAGTTACGATCATCTTAGTGCTACAACGATCCTAAGCCTATGTTAAGGTATGGGAGTTACGATCATCTTAGTGCTATGATGACCTTAAGCCTATGTTAAGGTATGGGAGTTACGATCATCTTAGTGCTACGATGATCCTAAGCCTATGTTAAGGTATGGGAGTTACGATCATCTTAGTGCTACAACGATCCTAAGCCTATGTTAAGGTATGGGAGTTACGATCATCTTAGTGCTACGATGACCTTAAGCCTATGTTAAGGTATGGAGTTATGATCATCTTAGCACTACAATCGCTTTGTGGAACGGGCCCAGGACACAAGAAATTATTCCTGATTAATGCTTAGTTTTAAAACAGTTGGACCTGTCTTGACTGATAACATGATAACACTCCTATTTGTAGTCGACATGATTCAGCTGTTCTTTCAGACTTGTAGATACAAAATCAACATGTATTTTTTTAGTGGAGTATATTTAGTCAGCGATATATTTGATTCTTGAGATAATCATCCTTATTGCATCACATCATCTTCATCAACAGCAAGGCTGACACTTTGTAGTAGTATGTGAGACTGTCTTGAAAAAGTGCAGTATTATGTGGTCACATGGCAAAGTATGCACTGATCGAGGGAGACCGATCTAGATCATTTTAATACTTTGTAATACTTCACTTGTTTGTCATCGCCAGTACTTTGCGGGTTTGTGTACCCTGTTCCTCCATCCTTCATGAACATGTACGACAGCTCTGTGATGTCCTCCTGCAATGGCCTGGTTCAAGTGAAAAGGGACCCATCGAGAACTCAGACAATGTTATGCGGTATACTCGCTACGATTAAACAACAAACCAACAATGACCTGGTTCCAGGGACAGTACCCAGAGAGTTCTCAGACCAATGTGTGTTCAGTTTCCATCTCCGAACTTGCAAGTTTCTTGCACGAAAATTGACTTCCATGAGTTAAAAGCGGCTCAGTTCATTACGTTGCTGAAATAGACAATCATCACTACATCTCCTATGGGTGTTTTCGTGGGTGATGGAGGATTGGACCGGTTGTGTGTGCTAACCCATGAAGTAGTGATATGTATACTAATCAGTGAAGTATTGATAATGCTTGTTTGCCTCATAGCCTCATTTATTTTGTAGCCTTGTATGAATGACAACCCATAGGACCCCGCTACTTAGGGAGCATCTGTGTAACCCGTTGGTTGGGCTTGGTTTTTGGTGTGCTGGAATTTTTAGAAAAGAAGTGTAATATACCGGAACAAAATAGTTGAAAAATATATATAATTGTTCTCCAACAAAAGAAATCTCACCACCCCACTCATCCCTACCATGGTGAGTGGTGACCAAAGCCTCTAAACTGCTTTTTGGGTCAAGTCTTTGAATGGCATTTAGAAGAGATACACTAAGGAAGAGAATTTATGGATGTCAACTTCTTTTTTGAGTACCAACGTTTCGGAGTATATACTTACTTGTTCCTTTACCTGATGAAGGAGTAAGTATATACTCCGAAACGTTGTGTTCCTCAATATAAAGGAGATGTCATTCATAAATTCTCTTCCTTAATTTTTGTGTGCTTCTAAAGAACATTTAGGTTGAAATGTGTGAAATCTTTTCAACAGCAGTATGGCTGCATTGTGTACACATTACTGAAGAGGCGTTCGAATGTTTTGTATTGAATGCAAGTGTTTTTGGTTTTTTAAAAAAGTCTTCCAGAGATTAGCCTATTACTATAAATAAAGGATTGGGATGGTACTTTCTGAGATTTGAATATTTAGCAAAGTTGAAATTGTGGGTTTTCAGAGCACAACTATAAATAGGCTTTAAATATTGAGGACTGTTTTGAAAAGGCATTGAAAATGGATATGGTTCTTTGAATTTACCTTCCAATTCCTCAAGTTAATAGCCTAAAAATAAATTTACCTTTGCATAGCTTGAAATAAACAAATTGTTGAGATCTGTTAGCTAAAGAAAAGAATGTGTATCTGTATTAACAAGCAAGTGTAATGATATTAGTTTCTGGGGTGGGGGAAAGCCTTGAAAAATCCTTGAAGTTTGTGATCTTCTATATTAATCCTGTTATTAATTATGCTGTAAGGGCTCAGAGGGCAGTACCTATTTGTGCTGGCATTTGATTGGATGTTTAAATTGATGCAGCATCTGACTGGGTCAGTAAGTTTCACCATAGTACTTGAAAGCTGTTGATGGTACAATTTATCATACTTACATTGCTACTTTGTTGGAAGACTAACAGGGACATCATAGCTCTGACTTCTAAACTTCCATGGCAATTGAGAGAACTCACTACACACTGGGAATAACTGCTTTTCTCGCAATATGTAACCATTATTAATATGATCAGTAATTTCTTGGAACGTTATTAATATGTAGTACATTTTATCCAAAGGGAACCAACCATTCTGAGAAACGAAGGTGCAGACAGACAGATAGTTTATAAAACTCTCATTTTATGATTTAGACCATCAGAAATTGTACTATTTGTGTTGTTTGACTAGATGTGTTATTATAAGTTTCTTGACAAACCAGCTCAAGCAGAACACATCAGTTGAAAACATCTACAACTGACCTCATTTCACAAAGGTGTGTTTGAATTGTACATTGTTTTAGTTATGAAGCAAGGCATCATCACTGAACACTTGTTGTAATATTTGTTTCACTAGAAGTGTTATGAAGCCCGATGACGAGCAGGATGGATGAAATTGTATGGATGACGTTGTATAGCTTTGCTAAACAGATTCCATGTAGTGCATCAGGCACATTGGTTATGTCTTCTTTCTAGTCTCAGCCAAACTTTCATCCCCATTGAGTGTACATTATGTATCATACGTCCAGTATACCATATGTACCACAGTGTGTATTACTGTAAATATTGTATGATTTGCTTCATTCTTGAGGATATATTTTCATGATAAACTAATTGATATCATGGTAAACCTGTTTTTGTTTTCATTGGTTGTGAACGTTTTGTTAAAAAGTTGCCTGAATTCGATGTGCGAGTTGTGTCTCTACGGTGTGCCAGAAACCAAGGATCACTGGTTCGAATCTCAGGTTCACCCTGAATATGTTCAAGGTCACCTGGTGGTTTCACCAAAGTGGTAACTATGTAAGACCTGCATTTCTGGTCTATCCTTCTACATGAACTGGACAGGCAGTAACTGAAATACTGTTCTAACAGCTTTGAACCAGACATGCTACTCACTGATGCTTGTAGCGACTGAGGGTAGACTAGATCCATAGATCGGCTGCTCAGGCTCCGTGACCTAATTGTGTCAGTGTGTCATCGTATCTCACTGCCGTAGGACTTTGCTCTCAATATCAGTCCCAGGTTTGAATGACTTTACAGCCTGTTGTCTTATACCTTGCATTTTGCTGAGGGCAGCATTAAATATAGTCTCAAACAAATCTTTTTCCAGTCATCTAGTCCTCATTCTCTCGAAGTTGAACGTTCCTTTGTGACCAACTTATTTGTGATTTGAAAAAGATGTCTCTCTCTTATTCAGACATCAACTCTGTTATGAACAGCTTCTCAAGCACTCAGTGAGGTGATGCACCAATCAACCAAGTCACTGAGCGTGACAACCTGACTGTCCTTATTCTGAGTCGGGAGACTGAATGAGATCATCCTTGACTCTCCAGAAAGGATTTTTCTAGAACTGACTTGTAACAATTATGCTTATTCAGGTATGAAATAGTTGTTTGGGCCAAGCCATTGAAACTACACACACACGGACACTTATAAGCAGCAGAATCTCAGAAGACATAATTCAAATTTACATCGTTTTTAGTTTCGACAAAACTAGTAAAATGCCAGTGGCTATAATACATGCTATCGTTTCACTGGATTATCTGATGCATCACTTGAATTTGTGGGACTCTATTGTTGACAGGTAGGGCAAGAGTACTGCTGTGTCGCGTCAGTCAATAAAATCACCTACGTTTTTATGCTGATTGTGTGGAGTTGCGGATGGGGCCTGGCACTACGCCCTCTTCGCGAGAACCTGGTGTCATTCAGGGTTTGGCTGCGTGGTCTAGTAGATAGAGTATCTGTCGGAAAGTCGATGGTTCGATCCCCGGGCGTGTCATGCGAAAGACGCTAACAGATGGCACAAGAGTTGCGCTCTGCATTAAGGGGATAAAACAAGGACTGGTCGGCTCGGAGTCAAGAATAATTTGAGTGGTGGTGTCAATGTTAAGCTGCAACATGGTATCTCAGTGGGTTAGCACTTTAAAGTCTGGATTAGTACAAGCAGACGCACGCACGCACGCACGCACGCACACACGTACATGGCCGTCGCAATAAGAGTTCAATAATTTTGAACGCGGCGTTAAACCCCATTTCACCATAATTCCCAGATATTTAGAGATCCATTCATGTAATTCTCACCGTTGTTATACTTACGCAAAGGAGTATGTTCCTGCAGATAATAGAAGCTGATAGTTCTCTGACGTTGACGTGAGTATGAACATGTATACCGTTATCATTAACATAATACGCACAGGGTGCCCCTAGGATGATCTTTTTTGCATAATATTTCACATTAGCCAATCAGAAAGCAGCTTTTCGACTTTTACGGCTCGTGTATGACACGTAAATTGGAGAGACTTCACGCCCCATAGTCACCAGGATAATCTGATGCCAAATTTGACACAAATTGTCCCTTTCGGAGCACCTCATACAAACTCCTGGCAACAAACCGAGATTCTCCGTACCAACATCAATCACTGGAAAAAAGAGGAAACTTTAAGAAACTATTAAAACCCAAAGAAAAAAGTCAGATATTTACAAGACAAGACCATCGCACATAACGGTACCTACCCAACGTGTACTCTCCTGTGCTTTAAACCAACCATTAACCGCTAATGGACATCTTGATTGCCTCGTTGTTATCGTGTTACCATTGTCAGTGTATTGTTGTCGCACCCAGCCCCATCACTACGCCTGGGCGGTGGGGTAGCCTAGTGGTTAAAGCGTTCGCTCGTCACGCCAAAGACCCGGGTTCGATTCCCCACCTGGGTACAATATGTGAAGCCCATTTCTGGTGTCAGCCGCCGTGATATTGCTGGAATATTGCTAAGAGCAGCGTAAAACCATACTCACTCACTCATCACTACACCTACATTAGTGTTACAAAAAAGTTTTGTCATATGCACGAAAACTGAATAGAGAGCAATGTAAGAAGATCTTCAGTAACCCTTTGTACCCATTCCATCTTCTGAAAGTCAACTCTACATTTGGAAGTAAACATTTGTACGCTACTCCTCTCAATTCAAATTATAAAAAATGTATCATGTTTCTCCAGATGTGAAAAAAATAAATTGTCAACATACTGTTGGTTGGTTGATCGTCTTCGACGCCCCCTGCAATATTCCAGCTACATGACGGCGGTCTGTAAATAATCGAGTCTGGACCAGACAATCCAGTGATTGATATCATGAACATCCAAACACGCAAATGGTTATCGATGACATGCATCAATCAAGTCAGCGAGCCTGGCCACCCGTTCACGCTAATCGCCTCAAATTGGACAATTCCCTTATAAGATTGGATATAGTGACTCATCACTTTGCCACCTTTGTCACAAAGAACTAGAAACTACAGATAATAGATTTTGGAACTGAAAATGTACTGAATACATGGCAGGAATTGGAAATGTGGTGGTACCAATACCTTTACATTTTACAAAACACAAGATCATGCTGGGCATAAAGGGAAAAAAACCAATCCCAATGCAATCATAGTATTAGTTAAGCAAATTATTTATAGATGTGGTAGAAAAGAACTTATTCCAAGCATAGAATGCATAAAGCGAGAAATTATTCCATACAATGATATAACCAAATGTTCTTATTTGTCAACTGGCGCTTTTGGTCAACGCTGCATTTGCTATTTCGAAATAGTGACGTTTAAACTCTGAATGTCCTCTTACCTTTAGACCTGTAAATGAGAATCTATAAACTAAGCATTGAATGTGCATTAGGACAAAGTGTGTGGAATAATGAATATATTTATTGCTTTGGAAAGTAAATACTTGTACATTGAAAGCATTTTGTTTTATATGTACTATGTTCAAATTCTTATACACTGAAGCAAGACTTAAATATGTCATTTAGTAATACTCCTATTTGTTCAATGCCCGTATTTGAAAACATTGAACAAACTTTTAAAATAAAAAATCACTACACCTTCATTGTCACCCGCGAAGATCCGGGGTAGAATAGGTCTTCAACAACCCATGCTTGCCGTAAAAGGCGACTATGCTGGAATGTCTGATAGATAGCCTAGTTTGTATAGCAATTCATTCCTCGGGCTGTGGAACGTCTCTTCCGTTTTATTGGCGGGATGAAAGATAGTTCTGACGTGACCTGTAATGGGCTGTCCTAAGAGTCCCTCAGTATCACGCGTCCGCGAATGTGATAGGTACAATCCTTAGGTAATGACACAAACAGTTGTCCAAAGCGAATGTTTTAATGTTGGACAGAGCTTTGACACGTAAAGCACGTGCGACAAGCCACTCGCAACTCCTTAATAACACATGAATCAGTCAATCCTAGCATTATTTGAAATTACTCTCAACTGTAGTTTTCATTCTTGTTCAACATGGCCCATAGAAGATTATCTGTTCGAAATATGGCGAACAATAGGTTTGACTAAGGTAGGCATGCTGTTGGTAAAGACAAAGTTGTTGGTTGTTAGCTCTATTATGAGGTAAAGGACCATCCAAGGTCTTGCCAACCTCAGGTGACGTCATTCCGCGAAGATCGCGACCTGTTCTCTTAGCCACAAACACTTACCTGAAGGAGACAATTGTCATCGTGGATATTGTGAGGTCTAGTCAAATCAGCAGATTTGAGGTCAAAGAGTGTGATCAAGTTTGAGGTCAAGGAGGGTGAGCAAGTTTGAAGTCAACGAGGTGATGAGGTTTGAGGTCAAAGAGCGTGATCTAGTTTGAGGTCACAGAGGGTGATCAAGTTTGAGGTCACGGGTGGTGATCAAGTTTAAGGTCAAGGATGGTGATCAAGTTTGAGGTCAAGGATGGTGATCAAGTTTGAGGTCAAGGATGGTGATCAAGTTAGAGGTCAAGGAGCGTGATCAAGTTTGAGGTTAAGGATGGAGATCAAGTTTAAGGTCAAGGATGGTGATCAAGTTTGAGGTCAAGGATGGTGATCAAGTTTGAGGTCAAGGATGGTGATCAAGTTAGAGGTCAAGGAGCGTGATCAAGTTTGAGGTTAAGGATGGAGATCAAGTTTAAGGTCAAGGATGGTGATCAAGTTTGAGGTCAAGGATGGTGATCAAGTTTGAGGTTAAGGATGGAGATCAAGTTTGAGGTCAAGGATGGTGATCAAGTTTGAGGTTAAGGATGGAGATCAAGTTTGAGGTTAAGGATGGAGATCAAGTTTGAGGTTAAGGATGGAGATCAAGTTTGAGGTTAAGGATGGAGATCAAGTTTGAGGTTAAGGATGGAGATCAAGTTAGAGGTTAAGGATGGAGATCAAGTTTGAGGTTAAGGATGGAGATCAAGTTTGAGGTTAAGGATGGAGATCAAGTTTGAGGTTAAGGATGGAGATCAAGTTTGAGGTTAAGGATGGAGATCAAGTTTGAGGTTAAGGATGGAGATCAAGTTTGAGGTTAAGGATGGAGATCAAGTTTGAGGTTAAGGATGGTGATCAAGTTTGAGATATCTGGTTACATCAGCAATTTCTTTCACAACAAGGTTGCATTTGGATGGCATATTTAAGTCCTGCTTCCCTAAATTTGTTGAATACCGTTTCTAGATGTTGGAGAAATTCATCTAACGAGGAGATTGTCCAAATGTGATCGAACATATTGGTATGACATTCCCATGAAGAGAGACGACATAACGAATGCGAGACAACTTGGGGCATTGACAGGATCAAAGGGCAATTTATTGAAGTGACATTGTCCATGACCAGG